AATTTAAAGTATTAAAATCTCACAAAAATAATCACTAAATTAATACTAAGATTTGGTAAAATATATGGTGTAGTATTGACTCATCACTAACACTAATCTTTCCGAACAATACTCTCAGGTAGTTAACTTTTGGGCATGACATAGGACAAAATTTACAATAATATGCATAATTCTTAACCTTCCTTCATAAGATAGCAACACTCTAGACATAGCATGCTTAAAGTGTAGTGTGTGATAGCCAATAGCAATACAACGCACTATAATCTAAATAAGGCGTATGCAAAATTTGTTTCAACCCCTCACATGGTATGCACTCATGTGTTTCACTCATAATTTCTGGTATAAAGTATTTCACTCAAGTGATTACATAAAACATGCCTCTATATGCTTGCTTGTTCACCTAGACTCCACGACCAATATTACATAACTTCTTGAATCAAAGGTCTTCATTCAGGTTGTAATAGGGTTGAGGGTCAAGGTTGAAGAAAGAAAGGATATGGATAAGACAACGATCTTGTGGAATAGTAGAGCATAAAATGAATTAAGAGATGTTTTGCAATACAATTTATATAAGAACATAAACTTAAACACTCTCATCAAATCCTTCTCTACACCACCAATTTGAACTCACTAAATGCATATTTCCTTCTCTCTTTTTTTTTTCTTCTTTCTTTTGCTGTTTTTATTTTTCTTTTTAAATATTTTTTTTTTCAGTTCCGATCCACCTAGAACAACACCAAACATGAATATTATTTCACAAGAAACGTAACATTCAAAACGCTCTTTAAAAAAGGAAAATGCTCTGCCAATTCCCAAGAATAAAGTAGAATCAAATATATAATAGGGCTTATATATGGTTTAAAGCATACATAGTTTCAAGAACAGAAAGGCTTATTTAGGCTCAAGGGGGTTAACTAGGGATAATAAGAATAAGTGTTGGCTAGAAAGGCTCAAACGAAAGAAGCAAATGGTATGAGGCAAATTCTAGAGATTCATGTAAAAATGAGATCATACACATAAGAACAAATGTAATTGAGAGCATAATGGTTCAATCATATAATAGGCTCCAAAGCTCACAAGGATCATGCAAGTCTACACAAGTGTTTACGTATATTTATCTCGATCACAACACATCATATCAACCATGGCTATGTGCATTTAGAGTGTCAAATAAAATAAAATAAAAAATCATGTTTAGATCATGATATGAAATGAAGGATGCAAATAACTGCAGTTCTAGCAAATTCGTAGTAAAGTCATCTCATAAATTAACTCAACGCCATCATGGATGTTCGGAAAGCAACCAAAACAAATTTTTTTTTTCTTTTTTTTTTTTTCTTTCTATTCTTCTGAATTCTTTTTTTCACTAAGTAAAACGAAAATATGAAAATCAAATTTGAATTGTCTTCCCTTCCCCCGAACTTAAAATCAACATTGTCCTCAATGTTGTAAGATAAACTATCATTTAAAATGGGCGAACACATCAAATTTATTCTTGTTCACGAATCTCTTGTTCCACCACCCTTCATCTTTGAAGATTGAACTCGATTTTCCTTCATTAGTCAACCAGTGGTTGCTAGAAGGCCTTTTGGAAGACTCAATAAATGAATCTTCATAAACGAAGTCAATCATGTAACATTTACTTCACTCTTGCAGATGTTGACTTACTCCAAGTACTTTAAATTCATATGTCTCATCGCCAACGCACATACTAAGGGTGCCCTTCTGAACATCAATCAATGTACGTGCAGTGGCCAAGAATGGATGACCCAATATGATCGGAACTTCCCTATCTTTCTCCATATCTAAAATCAAGAAATCCGTAGGGAAGATTAATTTGTCAACTCAGATTAAAACATCTTCAATAATTCCTCTCGGGTATTTGATTGATCGATCTGCAAGTTGCAAAGAAACCGATGTTAGATTCAAATCCCCCAAACCTAAATTTTTAAAAATGGACAAAGGCATTAGATTAACACTTTGCACCCAAATCACACAAAGATTTATTAAAATGATAATTTCCAATAGTGCAAGGTATAGTGAAACTCCTTGGATGTTTTAGTTTAGGTGGCAACTTTCTCAACAGAACCACACTTACTTCTTCGGTTAATGCAATTTTCTCATGTTCCTGAAACTTTCTTTTGTGAGTACAACAATGCTTTAAAAGTTTATCATAAGATGGAATCTGCTTAATAGCATCAAGTAAAGGGATATTGATTTCTACTTTCTGAAGAGTTTCAAAAATATCAAGTGTGTGTTCTTTCTTCTCCTTGACTAACCTTTGAGGGAAGGGTGTCAATATCACCTTCTCCTTCTCACTTACCTTCTTGGAAGCCATCGCTTTTTTTGGTGACGCACCCACAATTTCAGACTCTGTTTCTTTCTTGTCTATTCCCACTTTGTTTCAACAACCTTGCCGCTCCGTAGGACTGCAATGGCTTTAAGCTCCTCTTGACCTCTAGGGTTGGGTATCGTTTATGATGGGAACTCTCCCTTCTTTCTTTCACTCAATTCTTTAGCCATTTTCCCCAACTGTGTTTCTAACTTTTGAATAGCTTGACCTTGTTGGCTGCTTGTCTGTTGTTGCTGTTGCAAAACTTGAAGTACAATGCTTTCAAGGTCTACCTTTTTTGGTTCTTGAGTTGATTGTTGAACTTGTGGTTGAGCTTGAAAGTTCGTCCCTCGTTGGTAATTCATTTGTTGCTCTTGTGGGTTTGAACATTTTGTCCATTCCTCCATGAAAGATTGGGTGGAAGCCTCCACCATGCACTGTATGTATTGGAGAATGCATTGTTCTTTGGATGGTAATTTTCTCGTCCCACATAATTTGCATGCTCCTGATCTGTAAAAGAAGACAAAGGACGTGTCTTAGTTGTATGGTTAGAACAAGAACAAATAGCACATACCTCATTCCCTGGAGCTTGCTTGCCACTCAGGGAAGACATGGCTTTGACAAGCATGTCAATCTTTGTGTTCATGGCTGCCATTTCTGCTTGCACACCATCATTGGCATTAATTTCATAAACTCCCGATCTCGTCATGGTGCTTCTTCCTCTTGTTGAGTATTGTTGTGAATTCTCACTCAACTCTTCGAACATTTCAATGGCTTCTTCACCACTTTTCTTCATCAGGATCCCATTACAAGCTGAATCAACGATAGCTTGATTAGTATCATTTAAACTCTCATAAAAAGCTTGTACCTGATCATCTTTGGGCATGTTATGAGTTGGGCATTTTAGCAATTTGTTCTTGAAGTCCTTCCAATCTTCGAAGAATCTCTGTCCTCTTTCAAGAACTTGGTTGCCAACTACTCCCATGATTTAATTAATCCCGGTTCCAAAGAATTATACCACAATTTAGCATTAGATTTCAATGAAAATGGGAACAAAATTAACTCGGATAAAAACCTGTCCGAGCCCTTGGATAGACTGCACAGAGGTGGCCGTAAGAGTCCGAACCCTAGTTTTTCGCTTTAGAACTTTGCGGCCCAAAATTGTGCGAAGTTTTGCATAATCAAATATGTGTAGGTCCCATAGCAGGCCTGCCCTTTTATTTATGACCCAAACAATGTGATGAGATAGTCAATATTGTTTATTTTATAAATGTACCTGAATATATATATTTTTTTAACGAACCGAATTATCTGCACTAAGAGGTGGGAATTAGGCTAAGTCTCATAATGGTCTATTAATAATATGATTTAAATTCGTTTTTGATGAAATCGAACGTAATACCTCTTTTTACCATTAAAAAGAAATATTATTAAACTATAGTATTAAATAGCATATATATATTTACTCGTTATACATTTTCATGCACTCATGTTCAAATATTACAATTAATTTAAAATTTGATCATAATTTTTATGTTTGTATTCATATTTTATCGCCAGATGCAAAAACTGAAAGCTAACTAGAAATTATATCGCCGAGGAACGAACTCAATTGAGCCCATCATCAAGCTATCAATGCTGATGGGCTAAAGAGTGGAAAAAAACATGGCACCTGTCGGCTTCCCACAATAAAGGAGGACTACTTTGAAACAGTAATCAAAATGTACAACATAACCAAAAAATCAAAACGTCTCAGAAATTCTCTCAAGGGCGAAGACTGAATTTGGAAGTGAAAATCAAGAGATGTAGAAATTGAAAATGACATACGCAAAGGTACCAACAATAAGGCACCAAAACTCAAGTTTCAATTCAACGAATAATGTTACACTTATAACATTTTTCATGTCACATTTTTACCATCTTCCTAATAAAGTATGGTCTACCAACATATATGAGTTTGATTCATATTTATAAAATGGTACGATAAATGTGATAAGACTTCTCATCTAAGTTCATCCCACCACTTAAGTTTAATTTTTTTTTTTTGACTTTTAATTGTGTCAAAAGACGAAAGAAGAGTTTCATTCAGAACCAACATGTTGGTTTATATTGAATAATACATAAGAGAAAATAATGTTGGTCTACAATGAAGTTCAGAAATTGGGGTGCATGGGAGGTTGTGTTAGGGTGTTTGTGGATGTGGAATTGGTCTTTGAGGGTATTTTTGGATGAAAGGTGGTGTACTTAGAAAAGGTTTAAATTTTTTTATCTGTAATGGAGTGTAGATAAAAATTGGGGTAAACTAGATGAAAAGTGGTTTTGTGATTGTATTTCTAATGCAAAAATTTACTCAATTAATTAGAACTCGTGTATGAATACGTGAATTTAGTTAATCAAATCATGCGATGTTACACGCTGTCCCATGTATAGATATCATGTGAATTTTCCTTTTTTTAGTTAATTACATATAGAACTAAAGAGTAAAAAGTTGAATGGTTATTTTATCAATAAAAAAAATTGAAATAGTCCATAAAAAATTTTAAAATAGTAAAATTTGAACGTATGATTCTCCATAAAACTCGTATGCCTTAGGGATTTGGAGTTTGATTTAGTTTGTCCCTCAAACTGGTTTCCTTTGTATGTATGTGTGAAATTTTGGTGGAATAAAATTGCTGAAATGTTCCAGATGTGTGAAAGTGAAACTCTTGAAGATAGAGTGGTCGAAATCCTGTCCAGATTGCCTCCCGAGTCTTTAATGCGATTCAAATGCATACGCAAGTCTTGGTGCAATCTCATCAATAGTCCAAGTTTTGTGGCCAAACACCTCAATAATTCAATGGACAACAAACTCTCATCCACCACTTGTATCCTTGCCAACCGTTCTTGGGCTCACATTTTCCCGGACAAGAGCTGGAAAGAAGAAGTTTTCTGGTCCATGATTAATCTTTCCATTGATAGTGATGAGCACAACCTTAATTATAATGTTGAGGACCTAAATATACCGTTTCCATTGGAAGATCATGATTTTGTACTTATTTTCGGTTATTGCAATGGCATTGCCTGTGTGGAAGTAGGGAATAATATTCTTTTATGCAATCCTGCATCGAGGGAATTCAGTAAACTTTCTGATTCATGCCTTCTTTTACCGCCTCCCAAGGGAAAATTCGAATTGGAAACGACCTTTCAAACATTGGGATTTGGCTACGATTGCAATGCTAACGAATACAAGGTTGTGCGAATTATAGAAAATTGTGAGTATTCAGATGATGAGCAAACATTTTATCATTGTATTGCTCTTCCTCACACAGCTGAGGTATACACCACGGCTGCTAACTGTTGGAGAGAGATCAAGATTCATATATCAAGTAATACCTATTCTTGTTCTTCTTCATTGTACTTGAAGGGATTTTGTTATTGGTATGCAAAGGATAGCGAGGAGTGCATACTTTCATTTGACTTAGGTGATGAGACATTTCATATAATACACTTTCCTTCTAGGAGAGAATCCGGTTTTACGTTTGATTATATTTTTCTCCGAAATGAATCCCTTGCTTCTTTTTGCTCTCCTTACCATCCAAGTGAGAATTCTCAATCATGTGAAATATGGGTAATGGATGACTATGACAAAGTTAAGAGTTCATGGACAAAACTCCTAACTGTTGGGTCCTTACCCATTAGGAAGCCATTGATGTTTTGGAAAAGTGACGAGCTTCTAATGATTGATTCAGATGGAAGAGTCGCCTCTTATAATTCAAGTACCGGAAATCTCAAGTATCTTCATATTCCTCCTACTGTCACTAGGGCTGTAGATTTCGAAGCTCTTATTTATGTGAAAAGTATTGTTCCACTCAAGTGAGTTAACGGCAAAGTTCCATTTTCTCCTATTTAATTTGTATGCATGATATAAGGCTTGAGGGCATCTTTTAATTTAATTTGCTTTGTGGACTTTGTACTGTGTTTGCTTATCATGGGTTGCCTTTAGTTTTTGTGCTTTCTACAAGTTATTCTATTTTAAAGTGTAAGAGAATCTTTTTTTTTTTATTCTTTTTTTTGTTCTTTCAGAATTTCCTTCTTAAAGACCTAATAAGTTTTTACGCATTTAACATAATCAAGTAACTTTCTAGCGGAGGAGTGTAAACATTTATATGTAAAATCCGAAGTGCTAAAAGAATTTAGGTAAAAAGAATACTTATAGCCTTTTAGCCCATAACCGTAGTTCCTAAAATAGGGAATGGGTACTAGGGCTGGGTTCGGTTTGAAATGGTTCGATTTTTTGCCAAAATTGAAACCGAACATAAATTTCGATATAGTTCAGTTCAATTTTTTTTCGATTTTTTTCAGTTTGGTTTTTTTTTTTCGGATCGATTTTTTCTAATTCATTTTTGGTCCGGTTCGATTTTTTTCTTTTTTTTTTTTTTAATAAAAGGTAAACTTTCATTAAACTTACATAAATAACAAAAGGCCACAACTAAACGCAAAAAAAAAAAATTTGCCAGCACAACAACCCAACCCAAGGGTTGAGCTCGAAAAAGAAAGAAAAAAAATTGAAAACCCTAGCCACCGTCAAAGCATGCTCCAGCGACCATGAATCAGCAACCCAACAAACACCAGAAGTGAAGACCAACCAAGCCCCAACACCAAAAAGAGAACCAGACATCTGAAAATTGATAAACAAGTAAATCTGGAAATTGGTAAAGAAATGTATCTGGAAAGAAACAAATCTGCAAATCTGCAACACCAAGAGCAACACAAGCACATAATCCATCAAAATACTATCGTAATCCACAACTCACAGCAATAATTACATTTATTCATTTGAAATTCAAATAACTAACAAACCCACAACAAAAAATCGAACAAATATGCAATATGAAGCTGCAATACAAATCTGCAATATAAAGTTGCAATACAAATCTGCAATATAAAGTTGCAATACAAATCTGCAATCGAACAAATGATTATTGTCATGGAAATAGAATACAGAAGAATGGAGAAATTGGCGGCATGGACATGGAGGGTCTCACAAATATGAAGCTTAGAATAGAAAGGAGGATGCGGGTTATGAAGAAGAATGGTGAAGAATGGAGAAATTGGAGGCATGGACATGGAGTGTCTCACAAATATGAAGCTTGTAATAGAAAGGAGGATGCAGGTTATGGAGAAGAACGGAGAAATGGACATGGAGGGAGTCTGGAGTCAAGGAATGAGCGAGAGAAGAAGAGGGAAATGAAAAATAGAAAAGGTGTGGTTATTTTGTTGATTTGGTCATTAAAAATTAAAAAAAAATCTCCAAAATCCAAGAGGGATGAGGGGTTTGAACACATGCGCTCCAGCTTAGAAAGTTTTACCAAAAACAACTTCGCAACGAATTCTATTTTGTTATGATTGTATGACTAAACTATTTATAAACATTGAAAAAAAAATTAAATATATATATTGGTTCAGTTCGGTTGTCGAATCTCAAAAACCGAAACCAAACTGGCCAGATTTGATTCAGTTCTATTTGAGAGTTTCGGTTCCCTTTTTTTAGCCTCGATCCGGTTCTGTTTTCAATTTTTTTAACCCACCCTATGGGTACACTATATGAAAAAGTACATACATGTATTGTTCGACAGCTTTGCTAAAACTGTACTTAGAAAAATTCTGCTACTTTTTTTTTCAGAGGAAGTCAAATTTGGGAACTTTGAAAAGAACTCTGGAACTTGAATAGCGAAGCAAATTTCAAGATCAAAGCTCAAATTTGGCCAAATTTCAAGAATCATGCAAGTTCCTTAGAGATTGTGAAAGCAAGATTAACACTCCTCGTCAAGGAGGACATTGGTTGCACTGTGCATGACATTCAGATTATAGCTAGAATCGACCAACCGACGAGCCGACGACGTCAGTTAGTGCTTTGCCGCACTAGTTCTCCTGCTTTTCGATCCCAGCGCCCCGAGCTATTCTCAGATTCTATAGTTGACTTGCTTGGTTCAAGTGCCTTATACCTGTTCGACGAATTGCCCCAGAGAATCTGAAATTCTGTATTTTTTGGGTGCCCAAGGATTTTCTGCGTTCAACCACAAGATTGTTGCTTGATATCAAAGGGCATCAATTTGCTTTATGGTGTTGATAATTCAAAACCGAATTATCATGGTCACAAATAGTGTTTGTCCATGGGGCTTTCTTGCAGAAACGGCTATGCCGGCGACTAATAAGTCCCCCGTTCAACCAATTATGAAAGCAAGGACTTTTGCTTCTGTGGTTTCCACCCCAATTGAAGATGTTCATCTCAGCCAACTTTCGACTCCAGTTGTGCGTGGCGACAAAACATATGTCAAAATTAGCGAATCTATACCAAGAACAGTTGCAGTTGTTTCACAATAATCTCCTTGGACGTTTGCTCCTCAAAAAGGGTTCTACGCCAATGAAGACCGGTGCTCTAAAATCTTGTTTAGAAGATGCATGGCGCCCAACTGCACCATGGAACCTTGTTCCTATAGGTAAAGGTTATTTTGATATCCATTTCAATAAGGAGGATGATATGCGACGGGCATGGGCTGGCAGTACGTGTACTCTTGATACTGGTTTATTCAGGTTATCGATCGATGCCAGATTTTCAACCAGGTGACGTTCTCCCTCTAACTCATGCTCAGGTATGGATTAAAATTTTTGGTTTGAGTCAGGAATATTGGCATCCTAGACACTTGAGGGAAATTGCGAAAAGGGTTGACACTCCCTTGAAACTAGATATAGCTACAAGGGAAAGGCAGTATGGTTATTATGCATGTATATTAGTTGATGTCAATCTTGCAGATGATTTACCTACATCCCTTATGGTTGAAAGAGAAAGTCATGGCTTCCCAGTTGAGGTGGTTTATGAAAATTTACCACCTAAATGTAATCATTGTGGTTTGATAGGGCATTTGATTAATAGTTGCAGACAACTTAAACAGATGCCGAGAGGTCGTTCTCGTAGCCGGACGCAGAAGGGTGGTAACATGGGGGACAACAAAACCGGAGGTCACTCTCGGAGTCAACTGCACATGGAATATCATCCTAAAAAGGATGCGGCAATACGAGTTAATGTTTTATGTGGGTCACATGCTTCTAAACCTCTTCAACAATTTGATCAATTGATAGCTGCCTTCAATACTAAAGGTAATGAGGTAGTGGTTGATGGTAATGACGAGCCCATTCTTCAGTCTCCGCTTGGTACAGTGCCGATTGTCTCTTGTAATGATAATAATGTCATACTAACTCCTGATAATGCCCACACTCTCATAAACCAAGTTCTTGAACAGGTGGTTGATGAGGCCTTAGGGACCATTGCCCAAGGTGTGGTTAATTCTGAAAATGAAGAACATGGTATCCAATCCCCTAGGATATCTCATATTAGCAATTCTATGATCGGATGGTTGTCTTCTGGCGAATCACCTTCTCAGAATGGTCATTCTTATGGTCAGCATTTGGGCAACACCAATGTCCCAAATAATTTTGACCCGCAGGATCTTCATGGCGACTCTAGCATTCCTCTTAGGTTTGAACATGTGTTGTAACATTAGCTAAGGATGTCATCGAAATTGTTAATCACATAGATGGCTGTGATAAGGATGGTTTTACTCCTGTGTTATAAAAAAAATAAAAAATAAAAATAAAAAATAAAAAATCACACAAAAGCAGGTTGCCAAGCTTAACCAGCCTTCTGATAAACCCTATCCGAGCAAGTTCCGTGGAATACCTGCTCGTTATAAATGAAGATTCTCTTCTGGAATATCCGTGGCATTAGTAATGACGACTCTCAGACGGAACTCTCTAACATCTATTGGTTGCATCACCCGGATTTGGTTTGCATTGCGGAGCCCATGGTGACTTTTAATTCTATTTCAGATGCTTATTGGGATTCTTTAAATTTATCTGCTCCTTCTTTTAATTCTAGAGGAACTCTTGCTCCCAATCTTTGGCTACTAACATCTTCGACTTGTGCAGACCCTTTAGTTATTTCTATATCTGATCAACAGGTTACTGTTTGATGTACTTTTGATCATATCCCAAGTCAGTTCACCTTTGTTTATGCAAGCACTTCATTTATCAAAAGAAGAGACTTATAGGCTGACTTTATTACTCTGCGCTCATAAACACAAGTTCTATGGATGGCTATTGGCGATTTCAATGCTATCCTGGGTGCCCACGAGCAGATGGAAGGAGGCAGACCATCTCAAACTTCGTGCGCTGAGTTTAGTAGCATGTCTAACTCTTGTAACTTTACTCACTTGAACACTTATGGGGCAGCTTTTAGAGGTTTCGTGGTTGCACAGAAAGAAGGTTTCTTTCATGCCTATGCTTGTATTAAATCCTCCAGCTTTCGTATCAGTTGTATTCTTGATGGAAATAATTTTCTTACTGATCTGCAGGCAATTGAGAACCATATTGTTAATTTCTATCAGACTTTGTTCGGTTCTTTTTTCACTCCTTCAGGTTTTGAGGTTTGTGAGGTCATTCAGCCAATGGTCACTAATTCTGAAAATGATCTTTTATCTGCATTACCTACTGATGAGGAAATTAAGGAGGCAGTTTTCTCTTTAAGTGCATCTATCACCATTGTTAGGATACTGTTGGCTTTAATGTTATTCAATTTGTGAAGCAATTCTTTAAATCGATTTTGTTACTCCCTAATGCCAACAGTAATTTCTTGGTTCTGATGCCGAAGGTGGAAGACGCTATTTCCATTACCCAATTTAGACCTATTGCTTTGGAAAATTTTCTTTTCAAGATTATTCCCAAAATTTTGGCAGTTCGTCTTTCTCATGTTGTTCAACGCATTATTTTTCCTCAACAAGCTGCTTTTATACCTGGGCGACGTATCACAGATTGTACTGG